AGAAGGTCAGAAGCCAAAGCATTTAGATAGAGCGGACATGCGCTTGCTACCAGCATTGCCCAGGAAACCTCACCAAGAAATCCCAGCAGGCTGGAGCAAATGCCCTGTCGTAGAGCAGATACACTGGAGTTCGCCTGCAGTCTTTCCATACCCAAGGATATTCCTTCAAATTTGCAGCACCCACTTCACAATCTATAGAATACTCAGGACACTTCAGCCTCACAGTCAGTTGTTACTGCAGTGCAATGAAGCCAAAAATGTTGGTCCTTAACAGCGATGGGAATTCCAAGGGAAATATGAGAATTATTTGCCAAAATACTCAAGAAATTTGCTACAAGATCCATATTTCTTCACAAAACCCTTCCTTCACAAAACCCCCTTTCTTTTTAAGCTAGGGAAAGAAAGGGCTATTTAAGTTGAAAAAAAGATTACTCTACACTTAGAATTTCCATTAAAAGGGAACTTAAAATTAATCACAGAATTAAGACCTAAGTGCAATCACCTCAGCTGGACTCCAGCAAAGGAGAGAGCATTTCCTCTGTGCTGTAAGCCCTTTGGATCCTGAAGCATCTGGTTCATAGCACAGTCTGAGGCAAGAAAGTGATTCTGTGCATGTCTGCACCCGACAAAGGCCACAAGAAGGTCACGGAACCAGAGCCTTCATGAGAGTGGCACCAAGCAGTGACTTGCTCAGGTACTACAGCACGCAGGTCTCCATTCACCGTGTAAGAGAAAGTCAAGATACAAGGATTCCTGCAGCTGGCAAACCCAGGCAGGAGCCACATGAGTACTTTTACTTGCCATTTCCCAGACTGTTTGCCTCATGACCACTTCATTTTTCTTTTGCAGCAAAGCATTTAGTCTCTGACATGATTCACACAGTGAACTACCCCATACCCATCCCTCTGCAGAAAGCCAGCTTGTCAGAGCTGGGAGGAGTCAGCAAGGACCCTGCCTCTGCTCCCACTCTGCACTGTCCCTGGGAGATAAGTGCCGTCCCAGCAGGCTCCCGCACTCTAAGCACAGGGCGGAGAGGCTGTCCCTGATGTCCCCCCACCTGCCAGGCTTCCTGGGGGCTTATTTTCCTATCAGCTCCCATTTTACTGCAGCATCTTCTCCTGGGACAGGCTTGGTCAGGCTTTTTCATTACAGTTTCCTAAATACACTCTAAGGTGCCCATAACCTTGTAAAACAGCCTGGTCACAGCTCCCTGGAGAAGTTGTCCTGTTCCAAAGGAAGAGAAAAAGCAAAACTCTTCCCTCAACGCCATCAAACTCAAACTTGACAACTGGTACACATGCATCTTCAACTGCCTAGAAAGGAGCAAATGGCTGCGTAAGGAAATGTTTTTTGCTACTTTCATGTTCTTCCTAAACTGTGCTAATCTACCAAATTTACACTGCTGAACTACTTAGCATAACGACCGAGTTGCTTCCAAACCAAAAAAATTGTTAGCAAGCTGCAGGCAGTATGGCACTAATCCAGTCTAATACTGGCTTTAAAAGGTAACTTAGCCAAGAGATTCAGGGGCTGATCCTGTGCTGTAATGAACCAGCAGTGCACAAGGAGCCACCAGTGCCAGTGCCGGTGAGGCACTTACCTTGGCCATGAGGAAGAAAAGAGATTTCTGTAGCTATCTTACAACTGGTTAACATCCAGAGAAATCTCAAAATTTCTGTCCACATCTGACAGTGCGCACTACCCTTCCTGATGCTGATTTTCTGCCGTGCCTGAGGGGCTGTCAGGTACCTTATGGGACAGTTTTCGATGCTGCAGACCCCTTGTCCGAACTGTGCCGCAGCCCGCTGAGAGCCTGTTCTCAGGGGACAGTCATCCCAGCAAAGGCTCATTCGCTCTGCACATGAAGTCTTTCCAAATGCTTGCACGAGACAGCCCAGGCTGAGCGAAACACTTCTCAGGAGCTCCGTGTATCTGGCGAGGTGCAAAATACTTCCCCCGGGGGTGATTTTACACATCAGTTTGCACGTTCACAGCGCAGCCCCCACTCACTCGATGTCAGCTGGAGTGTATTCCAAAACACAAGAGGTTTTCAGTCCCTCTCTGCAGGGATGCAACGGGGTTCACAGGATTCTTGCAGGCAGGAGTGATAAATACGTTCTCCCACCGGGTAATAAGGGAGGGCAGCCCAGGCTGAATGAAGTTCGGCATGGGGAGGGCGGATGGGGAGCAGAGAATTCACCTTGCAAGTCTCTGACCCTTGTAAAACTTTGTTAAATCTTAAATCTGGCGTTATCACAGCCTGGATTGTTTGCAGGGCTACCTGTGCTCCTGCTGATGGTGCCATCTGCCGTGGTGCTGCCGTGTGTTGCCACCTGTAACGGGGTCCTGGCCACAGCAGGGTAAAGACCCTCCTCTCCTTCCTCAGCCACAAAGGAGGAGCTGCCCTGCTCCAGCTTAGCTCCACGCCTGGAGCAAGTCTGGCTGGGTCCTGCCAGTGCTCTGTGTGATCCAGGGCCCCCTGGTGACAAGTTACAGCCCAGGACAGTTGCCCCAAAGTTCCTCTTGGTTGCCAAGTCCTTGCTGGACCCCCTTGGCTCTGCCACCTCTGGCTGCAGCAGACAAGAGGCAAGAAAACTGCCAGTGACTCAGGGCAGGGGAGTTTCTGCTGGGCGGGTAGCCTGGGATGCCTCGACGTTGCTGTTTCTGCTTTCTTTTCCCAAAGGTCCTTGCGGAAAATGGCCTTTTCCACCAGGCTCTGCACAAGGTAGAGGCTGCAGCAGCAGACAAGCATTCAGCCTTGGGTTTTTTCCTCTGTTGGGCCTAGAATTCCATCCGGCACAACCTGTCCTTGAACAAGCGCTTCATCAGGGTGCCTCGGGAGATGGATGAGCCAGGGAAAGGTGGGCTTTGGAAGCTGGACCCCCAGTACGCCGACCGGCTCCGGAGTGGTGCCTCCAAGAAGCAGAGAAGGGCCCCAGTGCAGCTCCACCCGGCGTTCACCGAAAGCCCGTCCAGAAGCACAGTGCGTCGCCAGCCCAGCTGCTTCAGCTCCCGCCTCCAAGAACATCCTCACTGTCAGTGTGGAGTCACAGCAGCTGCTGGCAGGGTTTGAAGAAGTCACCGGCGACCTGGACTCTGACCCAGCAGGGCACAAGCACAAGCAGCCCTCGCTCCAGCAAGTGGCGAAGGCGCCTCGGCTTTCCAGCTCTGCCTTGCCGAGCCAGGGTGAGCAGCCTGAGCTGGGGTCACTAGCAGGGGGCTTGGCCTGGGAAGGCACCTTTAACACCAGCCGCCATGGGGAATTCTCCCTTTTTGAGGATCTGGAGCTCACGCCTCCGAAGAACCCCACGACCTGGGCTAGAGAGGAGAGGGGCAGCCCGTGGGCTGTGCCCAGGGGCAGGAGCAGGTCCTCACCGAATCCAAGCAGAACCCCCTCGAGTTTGAAACCTTGATGGCCACATCCCTGCTGCAGCATCCCTGGGGTGAAGAGGCAGAAGATGACCTCTCCCACTCTGTCAACATCGGGCAGTTGTTTGAGCCCAGCGGTGCCTCTTTGCCAGCGGATGGAAGCGACTGGAGCAGTCTGGCATCTCTCGTCCGAGGGCCAGACACCCTTCAGAGCCCACACAGACTTCAGGAGGACGCTCCCCCCATGCTGCTGGCACTCCCAAGGGACAAGATTTTCCAGAGGCAGAGAAATCTGCATTGACTTTGACCAGCTTCATTGTCAGACGATTTACAGAAACACTTGGGGGAGAAAAAAATACCACCACAAGAAGTGCTTGCTGTGTCTTTAAAGGACACATCAGCAGCCTCTGGTGCATGAGTTTCCTATAGAGAAGAAATGGAACACTATTGATTTTTTTTTACTTTTAAAGGAAGAATAGTGAATTATGTCTATATGTTTACCATTTAGTTAGCTAGTTAGTTATTTTCCATGGACAGGAGATATGTTCTGCTTAGAGAAGAAGTAGTTTATAAATTCAGCACGTTTGCTTCTTGAGATGTTTTTCTATAACCTATTCAATATTCTGTATTCAAAGAACCCTCTCTTTTCAGCAGCAGCATCCCTTAACTGCGGGGCGATAGGGGAAATGCAGTTTGGGTCTGGGTCGGGTTGGGGGGGGGAGGGTGATGGGCTGCAGGGGCGGCTCCTGTGAAAACCTGCTGGAAGCTTCCCCGGCCCCAAGGCGGCCCCGCTGCTGGCCAAGGCTGAGCCCGTCAGCGCTGGTGGCAGCGCCGCTGTCAGAAGGTATTTAAGAAGCCGGGGGAGGAAGCCCCAGAAAGAGCTGGAAAAGCTGCAGCAGGGAGAGGAGGGCACAGTTTGCGTGTGTCCCCGTGGGAGGGGCGTTCTGCGAGCGCGCGCATCGCTGGGCGCTCGCTGGGAGCTCGCAGGTGGGCGCAGGGGTGGGTGAACGTGGGGTGGGTGCGTGCGGGGTGGTGGGAGGGTGCATTCCGCGTGCTGCAGCGTTTGTGTGTGTGTGTGTGTGTGCGCGCGCACTCGGGGTGTGTGTGAACACTGCGCCTTGCGCTCTGTGTTCCAGCGTGTCTCTTGCAGTGCGGGTGTGTGCACGCTCCGGGTGGGCATCGCACCTTCTCTTTGTACCCCGCGTGTGACTCCAGGCAGTGTGGAGGGAAAAAAAATTTAAAGGGTTATTAGTCAAGAGTCCCCAGCTGGAGTTGTGACTTTTACTAGAAGAGGGAAGAGTTCCGGCAGCGGTTTGCCAGTGATGAAGTAACGGTGGGGCGGGACGGGGTACGGGCGCCTCCGGGAAGTTGTGAGATGGCAGGGAAAGCACAAGGAAGGGAACAGCAAGGCAATAAACCATGAGGCTTTGGTGCAGGTGCGGAAGGAAGAGGAGCTCCGTGGCTGCCAGCTGGGCGGTGCTGGTGGCAGGGCCGGGCCGGAATGCACCCCATCCCTGTGCCCCTGCCCCGCCCCGTTTGCATCCTGTGAGCCGTGGCAACCTCGGAACGTGCCGGGGCTCCCTGGGCAAAAGGGCCGTGGCAACCACAGAACGTGCCGTGGCAACCGCAGAATGTGCCGGGGCTCCCTGGGCAGTGTGTCCGTGGCTGGGCAGTCACGCAGCGGACGAGCAATGGGCTGCATCAGCAGCTGTCCGGCTGTCCTGGAGTTTCTTGCCCCCAAACACCCCCCTGCGCCTCCGGACCCTTCCCCTTCCCGCCGCACCAGGATCCACCGCCCCTGTTGGCGTTGGCGCCGCTGGATGTCCCGGCGCGGCGGCACCGCCACCCAGTTCTGCCCGGCCCTGGCCCGGCCCCAGCTTCCCCCAGGGCTGGCAGGGAGCCATTGCGTCGAGGCCGCCCCCTCCGTCCCTGCCTCCCCCGTGTCCGTCTCCTTCTCCCCGGGCTCCCCCGCCCGCCTGGAGCCGCTCGGCAGCCTGAGCGCCAGCACCGAGCCCACGGTGCCCTGTCCGGGTTGGGAGCTGCCAAGCCTGGCCCCGGAATGGAGCGAGGGGGCTGTGGTGTCGGTGCCGGAGATCACCTCGGCGGCCCATCTCCGTTCCGGGAGTGGCGGGGACCGACGCACAGCCACAGCAGTGCCAGGTCAGAGCGGGACGGGCCAGTTGAGCTGGGGGGAGGTTGGGCGGCCGGGGCAGAGCGGTGACGGCCCGGTCTGGCCCACAGGGAAGGAGAAGGGGCGGCTGGAGGAGCTGTACCGGGAGGGGCAGCTACTGGGAAGCGGCGGCTACGGCTCCGTGTACTCGGGCACCCGCCTCTCCGATGGCACCCCGGTAAGTGGCGGGGACGGCGGCGGGTGGGGGGAGGAGGAGCAGGAGGAGGAGGCTCATCCCGCCACTCCCCTTGTCTTGCAGGTGGCCATCAAACATGTGTCTCGGGAACGCGTCAGAGCGTGGGGTGAGCTGGTGAGTGACCGGGGCTGCTGGGAGAAACCGGGGCATCACGGGCTGGGGGATAAGGGGAGGCCCAAGAGGGTGGAAACCGGGACACCACGGTGGGAGCGGGCAGGGAGTCACTGGGGGACACGGAGCATCCCGGGTGAGGGGCTGCGCAGTACCGGGGCAGGGTGGGAGGGGGGCACAGGAGCAGCCCCTTTGCAGGGGGGATCCCCAAGCACCGGTGGGGATGGGCAGAGGGGCATTGGACATTCCTGGGGGTGGGTGGTGGGTGAATGCACCGTTGGGTCAAGTAGGGGGTTACCAGAGCACCCCCTTGGCAGGGGTTCCCGAGCAATGGGGGGGCTGGACAGGGGTCACTAGAGCTCCCCCTTGGCAGGGGGGATCCCGGGCACCAGTGGGGTTGGGCGGGGGCACTGGAGCATCCCAGGCGGGGGCTATGGCCCCCTGCCCCATTCCTCTGACGGCATCGCGTCCCCCCGCAGCCCAGCGGCACTCGAGTACCGATGGAGATCGTGCTGCTGAACGCCGTGGGCTCCTCCAGCTTCCGTGGCATCAGCCGCCTGCTCGACTGGTTCGAGCTGCCGGACAGCTTCGTCCTGGTGATGGAGCGTCCCGAGCTCGTGCAGGATCTCTTCGATTTCACGCTCGAGAGGGGATCCTTGTCGGAGCAGGTTGCACGGGGGCTGTTCCGGCAGGTGCTGGAGGCTGTGCGGCATTGCAACGCCTGCGGTGTCCTGCACCGGGACATCAAGGCGGAAAACATCATCATCGACCTCGCCACCGGTGAGCTGAAGCTCATCGACTTCGGCTGTGGCACCTTCCTCCAGGACGCGGCCTACACCGAATTTGCGGGTGAGCCCACACCCAGGGGGCTGCTCCCGGCACTGCACGGCCCAGCCTGAGCGGGCACCGGTTCCCCCTTTGGAGGGGGGTGGGGAATTAATTACTCATCCGGCTGCCAAGTTGCTTTTTGGCGCGGGGTGGATGTTGTGAAAGGGGAGCCGGCTCCCAGCCGCTGCCACCCACCCTGCCCGGGGCTGGGGTTGGGGGAGCCAGCCTGACAAAACAAACACCTGTGGGGTAGCAGAGGGTGGGGGTGCGGGGGGGCCTGCAAAACCCCTATACTGGCCAGTTTGGTTTGCAGGTGTGGAAGGGCTTGGGCTGCTCCGCCCCCCTTGTTTGCCTTGGCTTTTTAGATTTATTTTTGCACGTAACAGCCGGGCCCGTGCTGCCATCTTCTGGCACCGGCGGCTTTCTTTACAACCCAGAGTTTGTAACCAAGAGTCCCATGTTGGCGAGGGAGTGGTGGGTCACACCGTGCGTTGTCCCCTCCGCCACCGGTGCAGCCCCCGTGTCCTCAGGGACGCTCGGGTGAGGATCCGGGAGTGGGCAACATCCACCTGACGAGCTCTGCCTGTCTCCTGCAGGAACACGTGTGTACAGACCGCCGGAGTGGGTCCGCTTCCACTACTACCACGGCTGGTCAGCAACAGTCTGGTCCCTGGGCATCCTGCTCTATGACTTGGTCTGCGGGGACGTCCCCTTCGAGCAGGATGAGGACATCGTCAGGGGCCAGCTCTTCTTCCCCCAGCCGATCTCCCTTGGTGGGTACCCGGCGTCGTGGCGGGCAGCGGGTTTGGGAGATGGCCCTGGGCGCAGGAGCATCCCTGCTCTTAGGGCTGTGGAGGAGGGTGATGTCCTGGGCTCAGCTGGGGGAGGTGGCATGTGAGGAGGGTGATCTCCCGCGGCTACCGGGGGGAGGTGGCACGTGTCCTGCCATCCTGCTCTCCTCCAAAACAGCTCCTAGACTGGGAGGTTTGGGGGTAGCTCTGAGCACACCCAGCATGGCCCGGGCACTGCGGATGGTGGGGGAAGGTGGACAGGAGCCTTCTCTGACCGGCGGTATCTGGTTTCTCTCCCCAGAGTGCCAGCATCTTATCAGGTGGTGCTTGTCCTTGCAACCTTCAGACAGACCATCCCTGGAGGACATTTTCAACCACTCCTGGCTGCAAGGCATTCACCAGCCCTGGGAGATGGCAGACACCCCACCTGCACGCTTTGGCCCGGGACCCTGCCACATAACTGTCGGGGGAGGCAGCGCCTCCGCGGAATGCCTGACACAGAGAGAACTGTTTGACCCTGACCAGCTCGTTGTGTACCCCCGAGCAGCTGGACGAGTCCCGGAGGAGCGCTGTGTCAGACTGAGAATGGGAATGAAGATAAGGAGAAGAAACATACTGTGGTTTTCAGATACCCG